TCTCCTAGTTGCGTTGGTGACGCTCCGTTTTTTTTTTTTTTTTTTAACTTTGAACTCGTATCTCTGGGGCGAGGTTCCACTAGCAACGGGATAGGATAGAAACGAGTTTGTGGGGCAGTTGAGTGACCCAAATCCTGCCGTGCACTACTCGTGATCCCACCGTCAGTATTTTACATGTATTACCCGAAAAAGTAAGGAGATCTTCGTTCCCCTCCTCCTCTCCTTAACACTGGGCATGTCCGTGCAAAGACGGATTCCCGCCAGAATCTTTTCAGTCGGTTGGGGGTGTGGCCAACCCCAAAAGAGGTTGGGGTCGGCCATTGCCCACTGGATAGAAGATTTTCAGCATTTTACTTGCTGTTGTGCAATTATCTCATTGGGTGGAGCCCTCCTTCAATCATGGAGTATATGGAGGGTGTCAGGATCACTGCTGACAGAAGTCGAGTTTATTCCAGAAAATGTGGCGGTTGCTTTGTTCACCGTTTTTGCAACCACCACCATCAGATCATTTGTGATCTGATGGCTCTCTGCCGTGGTTTCCGGTGGGATGTTTCTGTTTCTTTGTTTTTTTTGGCCTTTTTCCTGTTTTCTCAGCCCATAAATTCGTGATGAACTTGTCTGGCTGCTGCCACTCAGTGTCACGCTGGCTCGGCCACACTCCTATCCGACTGCTAATGGGACCTCGCCCCTGGTGTGCCTTGGTCGTGGTCGACGTATGATGACTTTCCCCTCTTCTTTTCCTTCCAGTTTTCCTTTCGTGCTCACAATAGGACTTTGCTACTGATTCTTGGACGTGATTGCGGGTAGGTACATCCAGGCTCGCCCGTAATTGCGGTCAGATACATTTAAGATAGTGGTACGAGTGAAGAAAACGCACAAAGGTGAGTTGCTGCAGACGAACCTGCCTTCTGACGGCAGGCCAGGTTCGTGTTCTGCACCTGGCTGGCTGCTAGGTTACCTACATTCAGAGGGGCCTATCTCTGTCATCACGTACGAGTCTGTGGCAGAAGAAGAGACTCTTCTCTCGTGTTCTTAGAGCATACTCACTCTTGAATGTGGGACTCTTTCAACTGATCTCCGGCTGCAATTGTGGTCAGATACGTCCGGCCGTCTTTGTCGTCACATGCATCTGGCCGTCCTTGTACTCCGATACATCCGGCTGTATTCTTTAAAGAATATTCGGTCAGCTACGTTCAGAAAAGTCTCAGCTGTCAGTGTTCATTCTTAGTATTAACGGCGTACCGCGATCAGATTCCAAGCTATGGGCCTCGCTGCACTACTATCGAAATGTGCAAAACGAGAGTGAATCTTCCCCTAGAATATGGAAAGATACACGGCCATTATTTTTGTCTTTTGTGCATTTCAAGAGTAGTGCAGCGAGGCCCTATATCAGTTGCCAGTATGCCTGTCATCCTCGAGCAAGGTCCATGCTGATCTTTTTTTTTTCCCCTTTTCTGGACCATTTCTCGATTTATGCGTGTCATCCTTGCGCAGAAGCCAAGTCCTTCTAGAAGCGTGGAGTTTCCCCAACGCGTGAATCGGGACGTGTTTGTGGAGATGTGCGGTTGAGGAAAATGAACGCAATTTCGGTACATCTCCACAAGCACGTCCAGATTCGTGCGAATGCAGTGCTGCTTTTGGGACGTGCACGCACTTGCGGTCGATACTAATCTTCTCTGAAGCGTTCTAATTTTAACCATGTCCCGCAGGAGTACTCCAAATACTGGAATTAGTATTAGTAATTCGTTTTTCTTCCTGCCATTCTTGTTATTATCTTTATTACATTATTAATATGTCAGACTCTATTATTAGTTTCGTATTGACTATATATATTACGCATGATCTTTCCGCTGTCCTGAAAGGACAGGATCTCTGTTAATATTAGAATGTTAAAAATTGGTTCTTCAGAGACGCGGCCTCAGTCCACTGCCCACAATTGTGCAAAAGGAGAATGAATCTTCCGCAAGAGCACGGAATGATGCACCGCCATCATTTTTGCCTTTTGTGGATGCGGTGAGTTGCGGAGCGAATCGCAAGATCAGCACGACCTCTGCACAAGGAGGACACGCGTAAATCCGAAGGAGTAAATCGAACTGGAACGGTACACAGAAGATTTGCATGCCATCTGCGCAAGAGAATGCGCTGGTCGCAACCCCGCCCCCCCCCGCCCCCGCGGCAGCTCGATTGATAGAATCAAGACAACAAGAAAGGGTGCAAATCTCTTTTCTAAGGGTGCGAAAAATTGCCCGCTTAATGTGGGTCTTCTCCACTATGTGGGCCCCAAATTTTTGAGCCTTTCACGGCCACCGAAGGTCCGCAGAGGGTGGAGGGGAAGGACAACCTATGTACCCTGCTGCCAGGGGGCCAAGTCCCACTTGCCCCAATTGGCAATTCGTGCCCATGGATTACCGAGATCGACGGCCAGAAACGAGGAATCAAGCATAAGTGGGACTTAGGGCCAGATCCCACTGGCAAGGACTATCGGACGAAGTGTCTGAATCTGGACGTGTTCCACGCAGAGATGCAGAAAAGAAGATCTATCACAGTTTTCTGCACCTCGCCACAAACACGTCCAGATTCAGGCACTCATTCCAATCCTCTTTGCCAGTGGGATCTAGCCCTTAGCCCCCGGAGAGTCTGACTTCGTATTTGCCTTGGGCACTGGGCCCCTATTATTATTATTTTTTTTTTTTGGGCCCCTATTATTAATTAGTAAAGTTTTTTTTTCAGGAAAAAGAAGGAAAAAAAAGGAAAAAAAAAGAAAAAAAAAGGAAAAGGGAAAAAACAGAGGACGAGCAGGCCCCAGGAAGGTTGGGCCGCATCGTCGCTCGCTGGTTGAACAACACCCTTCTTCACCGGAATATAACGTGTCGTCATTATATCTGTATTTGGGCGATAAGTTGGTCTAAGTACAGCAATAATGACCGTATATGTTGATTTCGGGTGAAGAAGGGTAGGTGGGCAAAACAGGGAAGCAGGGCGGGGGGTACTGTCTGGGACAGAGGGTATGGAGGAAAAGACCCATTGGAGGAATCGGGTGGCTGCGATCCCAGCGTGACCGTGTCCAAAAATAAAGGACAGGTTCCTCTAACGCCGTCCACGTTCTTGGATGCATCTATGCCAGTTACGGGTTAGATTCAGTCGATGAAGTCCAGGCGTGAGTGTGTCCTAAGCTGGCTCCGAGGATTGCGAAAGTGGGCCCTCACACCGGGGAGGGGCAGGGTTGATGGGAGCCGATAACGGAATTGCTTGCGATGAATCTGGTCCAAAATGCCGATAATTTTTTTTTTTTTTTTTTTGTTTTCCTTCTCATCTCTTCCTCCCTTCTTATCATCTTTGAACTGGCCGGTCCCGGGTTAACTCAGAGTTAATGTCACTCGCCTGATTCCATTGGCATTCGAACTCTGGTCTGCATTTCAGCAGATTTTTGGGTGTACCAAGTGAGCTACGGTAGTGCCAGTTGGTAAAGCCGAGAAGGTTTCTGCAGGTGTTTTCGCCCTGAACGCAACGCACCCTTAGAATGACTGTATCTGACGCAACGCACCCTTAGAATGACTGTATCTGGCCGGAAAGATCGCTTGTATGCATGCATTCGTGATCACGGTGCGTTGTGCTCCGGAGAAGACGAAACTGGGGAACGATGGGGATACTTCGGCGAACTCGTTTCGTTCAGACAAATGTTAAGGTGTCAGCGATTCGCCTATCTGCGCTGAAAGAGAAAACGAGAAAGCTATAATGGCGTGCTAGCATACTACTCACAGCAGGTTTGATTCTACTCGTTCCTAGCCGTAAGTACGGTCAGATGCATCCTAGACTGTGGAGTCCTAGCAGATGGATTCAGGAATAGAGGTCCCACCGGCCCATATTTTATTATTATTATTAGTATTACTATTACTATTATTAGTATTATTATTTTAATATTATTATTATTATTTTTAATGTGGTCCGATGGACGACGGATCAGATATTAAAGTTAAATTAAACTGATCAGAACAGATACACTGTACTCAATCTAATTTTAGTCAAACGCCCGAGAAAGGTATTCCCAGATTATTCATTCGGATCGTTGATTATGCATATCGGTGGCCGGCGATCAATTACTCGGCAAGTCGTACCTCGCCCCAGAAAAATCTTACCGAATGTAAAATCCCACCAAGGCTACGGTATTCAGGTATATGCCTTCTGTGCTTTCTCTTTTTTTCCTGTTTTGGCCATTCAGAGCGTTTTGTACCGTGGAACCACAGGGGGGCTGCTGAGCGTATTGCTATTCCAAAATTCGAACGATACAGAGAAATAGTGATTAGCATGGCCCCTGCGCAAGGATGACACACATAAATCCTGGCAAGGATGACACACATAAATCCTGATAAGGAGAGGAGAGTTTTCGAAAGTTTTTATTGCCCTGGACCGTTTCCCGATGTGGTAGATTGGCAGCTGAAGATGTTTTTGTTTTATATTTTTGGCGGCCGGTGCAGAGGTCTTGCTTCCGTTGTCTACTCCTGTATAGGAAAGGAGGGTGATGTACTTTAGAGAACTCCAAAGGACATTGTGGGCGACGACGACATGGCGAGTCTTCGCAGTGCACGACGTGGCCGACAAAAATCTCTTCTCGAGGTGCTTGCTCCTCTCAGCAAAACCCAAGCTGCAGCGGAGGAAAAACTATGTGCTGAAGAGGTAAGGAGCATACAGGGCAGGACATCAACAAAGTTGCCTTTACTCCTGAGGTTACTTAAGAATGGTTCAAAAGGTGGATCTTCTCCAGCTGAACCAGGTGCAGAGACAAGGTCCGCACAAGGAGGGGAAAAGCAGCCAGTTGAACCACAATTGCTCAAGAGGAAGCGTGTGTATTCGCCGCCATCGTCGAGCAGGGACCCACCAACAAAGTGTAATATCCCCTTCGAGACATCTTCAATGCGGGGTACTTGGCTGAATGTGGAGGAAGATAGACAAGATTCAGGTACAGCTGCTTCATGGAAGACGAGTCGCAGTGTGGCTACGAGCCGAGATGAAAATGCCTGGAGTCATGGTGTGGCAACGAGCCGAGATGAAAATACTTGTGCGAGAAAGTCTAGCGTTGGCAGCTGTCCACTAAATCTAGTCGATATGGGTGTTGGGAGAAGCAGCCTCTACAATGAAAAGAGTCCCGTGCTAGCGAAGGAGAATCCAGATATCTTCATCTCCTCTGATGGACCTGTAAAGAAAGCCAATTTGAAGTCCGCCCATACTTCAACTGGTTTAAGACCTAGTCTGGGAGTTTGCGCAGATGGGTCAGCCTTACAAATGTCCAAATCTGCTGGTCAGGCGGGTTCCTCGCGTCGTGATCTGCGTAGCGCTGCATCCATGGAGGAGCTTCCGGCAAACTGTTGTGAAACTGCACTGAAGGATGGAGGGAAGGAAGATAACGCTCATCGCTGCTGCATCTGTGGCCGCGTTTATCCGGACGAAGAAACATACATGCATCATTGGAAGGAGGAAATGCAAGGTGTGCTTGATGATACTGATGGTGGCGATGGAGGAATGCAGTTTTGCTGCAATATTCCTCAATCTGCACCGGAAGGCAGGGCTTTTCAAACACCAGATGCACTGCGTGTTAGCCCTGATAGATCTTCCTTGGGAGTGGAGAAGGAGGGAACCGACAATGCAGATGAAAACGAGTTTGTTGCTGGTTGCATGGCTTGGGACTCTTCTCAAGGACCTGGAAGGATGTATGGGAAGAAAAATACCTCTGATGATGGGAGTTCACAGAGTGGGACCTCCAGGTTCGAGGCAAGGGCTGGGACAGAAGAGCCAAGTGCAACAGAGCATTCTGCCCACAGGGGAGCACACCCTGTTTTCCATAATGGCAAGGCGCAAACTGCTGGTGTCAACCCTTTTTTTAGTCTTGTAAATTCTCAGAGAACGGACAAGACACCTACACAGACAATTTGGGGGAGGGGGAGTCAGAGAATTCCAGATGTGCCGAGAGCAAAACATGCCGAGACTGCATCAGGAAATGCATCCGGTGATGGAGTCCTGGACTTCTTAAAGGTGCTTGGCAAAGGAGCACCGACGGAGTGTGACAACAAAATCAACCTGCCTGCAGGAACAGTAGTGGAAAAAGGGCAAAGGGAAGACCAGGATGCTGATTGTAAGGCAATGCCAGCTGCTGGGAAAACGTGTTTTAGTTTTGTGAACCCCGCTGCAAAACAAACGGAGAAGTCGTCTTCATCCCATAGTGTTCTTGTCATTGGTGGCAGTCCTAAACGCCGACCTGCTGGCTTCCCTCTTGCCTCGGAGTCAGCTGCAAAGCCTTACAGGCTTTTGATCGACAGCTCTGGAGATGGAGAAAGAAGAAATACTGATCCGAGTGTCACCGAACAAATACATGTTGAACGCAATCGAGTAGGATGGAGGCGAAGAGGACGAAGGGGACGGAGGAGGTTTGGCGGCAGGGCAAGCAAGAGGCTGCCCAGCAGTGGACACCAAGAGCCCAACACAGTCACAAGGAACAACGTCAATGCTGAGAATGAGACTTTCTTCAATCATTATGCAGATGGGGAGGGGTTTTGGGATGCAGATCAAGTGGGTCTGGACTGTGCCGAGCTTGGAGTTGGTGGAGTGGGAGGATGGGAATGTATGGGGACTATGAGCGTTGGGCACATTTGGTGAGGCTTATCCAAAGTCTGCCAAATTCAAGCAACTTCCCAGAGGAATGGTTCATGATGAAGTTGTGATAAGGAGGGAAGGGTGGCCAGTGTGGTTCCCATTCCTTGTTATTTCAGGCTTGCAACCTTTCAGGATAAAACTGTCTGCAGGTTGCCCACTAAAATATATCAGGACTTCAGAAGCACAAAGAGGGGTTCATCGAGGGAGGGTGGAGCTGAATGGAGAGCAGCATGCGGAACGAACGTAGGGGAAAGGAGCGTTCGAAGCAGTAGACATGTGTGGTTGGACTGACCGGGCTTTGAGGGCTAATTTCGTGCAGAGACTGCATCAGGTTTGGGCGGTGGGGGGGTGATCCACTCTTTTAACCCCTTTTTGATTCCAAAGGGCAATCTGCTCTTTCGTCTCATTTGATTCCGAATGCTATTCCAGCCTTGATCTTCATGGTTGTAGTCTTCCGGCCTGGTTTTGTTCTTCCGCGGTCTGGTTTGATAAGTAAACGCCTTCTTGATGCTAGTGTGCAATGGCTCGCAGACGCCATTAGCCAAGATCGGGACCAGGTACGGGGGAAGATGGAGTTGACAATGCAGACGGGAATCGCGGAGAGGTCGGCAGGAAAGCAGCCGCTTGGAGCAGTACATATGAGCGTATGCATTGCGCGCCAGTTTCAGCACTAGGTTGGGCAGAATATTACATCAAGGCTCGGAATTACGAATAGGTGGAGACTCTGGAGAGAGATCCCAACCCGTTTTTATCTGGCTTTTTTACGCGATCTTGAAATCGGGGGATCGTGTTTCTTGAAATCCTAGACTACCATCCTATGTCCGTTTGAGTTGAAACGGTTTTTAAAGTCACGTTTTTGTGCATTGAAAATCTTAGGTCAACAATCTTTTGCTTTCAGAGGACTTATTGCGGATACAATTTGAATTTCAAGTGGCAGCTTGGAGGGGCGGTTTTTATTTTCTTGAAAATCCTTAGGATGATATCACTGTATTTTTCTGCGGGGAAAATTTTGGAACAGGATTTATGTAGGCAAGGGGTAGGAGGCACAGCTGCGGCCAGAGCTGGTCGTACTACAGGACAGAGGGAAGGTGAGGTGAGTGGACAGGGAAACGTTGCAGTGTGTGCACTGACACGTGTATAAAGGTCAGCGGAGACAAGGCAAGGTTCTCTTTTTGGTAGAATTACTCTCTTGAGTTAGGCTCAGTTAGCTCTTCTGAGGAGTTCCATTGTGTAGGCAGACGAACGAAACACGTAGAGGAATTGGCAATGCCGTTCTTCAGATAGGGGAGGAGGGAAGCAGGAAGATGGCTGGAAGGAGTGGGAGCAATGGATATCGAGATGCTTCGTCATCTGAATGCTATGGTTTTCTGAAGCATTTGTTCTTGCCGATTTTGAAACTCAGATTTCTTCTTGTGTGAGTTTTTGAAAATTTTGTCCACTCTCTGGTACTGTTCTTTCGTCTCTTGGAACTCGTGTGTGCGTGTTGACTCTGTTGCTCTCCCCGTTCAGGCGGGGAGGCCGCAGTCTGCCTCTCTCTCTGGGTATGGAGCACGATTGTGCCAGTGAGTATGGATATACGCTAAAATTGAAACGAGACAGTGAAGATTAGCATGGCCCCTGCACAAGGATGACGCACATAAATCATGAAATGGGATCTCTGCAGAATATCTGATACTACCACATCTCTGCAAGCATATCGTCGTAGCACGTGTATAGGACATCTGACTCTGGACAATTGCTTGCCTAATGGATGTCTTGAAACACAATCTGCTTGATATTGGCAGTGATCGAGTCTCACAACCCCCAGAGGGCAGTAATTATACTGCAGGTGGAGGCCTTACAGTTTGTGGCCTGCAGGTATGACGATGAGCAATATCAACTTCTTGTTGGGATTTCTGAGCAGTAGAATTCTAGAAGGATGGCATTATGGGTCAAGCCATTAGCTGGATTGACGAAAGAAAAGGGATTTCAGTGACGACATATGCATCGTAAAATTGACCTCTTGCTCGTCTTGCGCGGGTTGCCTAGTAACGCTTTGCCCCTCTCTTATGGTCATAACCAGGGAAATAATGGCCCAAATTTATAACGAGGGATGAGCGAGGATACCCTGTCCTAAAATGCGAAGGTTGGATAGATGAGGATTGATATTGGTCCTCTCGTCCAGCTCAAGAATTTGGTCCCACCATTGTAGTTGGCCGTAGTTGATCAGTAAGAGGTCATGGGCCTGACTAGATTCCTTAGGCGCATCAGGCGACCCGAACAGGACTGAAGTGGTCACGGGCCTGCCATACCCGTTGCGTACTGTTTGCAATGCTTTTCATTGCGCTGCAGTTGCTACTCTATGGAATGATGGCACAGATTGCCAGCAGGAGCTGCTTCCCACCTACAGATTGGAGCCTCCGAACAGTCTTAAGGCAAACTTCAGACGTTGTTAGGGATCCGACAGACTGAGTCTGTAAGTTAGGCAATTTTGTTGAGAAACGCGGATCCCACCACTTTCTGAAATCACAGGGCGCCGCGCTTTGTTAGGGGTACGTCTTTGGGTTATGTGTACGTGGGGCCTCGGCCGCAATGAGCGGCCCAACGGTGCTACACAAAATGGCAAGTTTGAGGACCCCTACCCCTACCGAGAAAGCTGCCACAAAAATGAGTCACCCTTTTCAATGTCCGTTCGTGGAGCAGAGGAGTGTACGACGCTGGAGGCCAGGCCATATGGCGGACCACAGGAATGTCCGTCTCCGTGGAAGCCCAAGAAAATCCGGCGTGGTACTTGGGAAAAAACCTGCGGAACCCGCCTGTGTGGGGTTCCAGTTTGCTTTTCCGCCCCACACTACCCGTGTCCATCTTTCAAGAGACGTTCTTGTTTTTTCTCATTTTACGTGTTGTCGGATCAGCTCCTTTAGCCACCACTCTACCCGCCACCGAAAAAGTGGAATTCCGGTGAGTGCGGACCGGGTCTTTAGGGAGGGCGCCGACCGGGAGGTGCAGGCGGGTCCAGTCCCACAATTTTCACTTCCCAACTTTGGCGATTTTTCGTGCTCAGAAAAATAAGGGAAAAAATCTGAAAATTTGAGGTACTGTAGATTAGGTCGTGATCTTTGCGGGTCTTTAGGGGGGGGCGCCGACCGGGAGGCGCAGGCGGGTTCAGTCCCACAATTTTCACTCGCCAACTTTGGCGATTTTTCGCACTCAGAAAAATAAGGGAAAAAATCTGAAAATTTGAGATACTGTAGATTAGGTCGTGATCTTTACGGAAAAAATATCAGAAAAAAATAAATAAAATTTTAGACCATGAAATGAATGCCCCACAAATTCGTCACATTTGTCATTTTTGCCACTCCAACGTGCGGGCCAAAGGAAAAAGTACCCTAACTTCTGTGATTTTTCGCACTCAGAAGATCTTAGCCACCCTTGAAAACTCTGAAAATTGAAGGGTTTTTAGATTTGGTTGTGATCTTTCCAAGAAAAATATCTTAATTATTTTTCAGAAATTTTTAGTTGGTGAAATAAATGCTGTGCCGATTTGTCTCATTCTTGATTTTAGCCACTCTATAGAGTCTATACTACTTGTGGGCCAACGGGAGCGTACCCCAATTTCAGCGATTTTTCATAGTCAGAAGAATTCATTAAAAAATCTGAAAATTGAAGGGTCTGTAGATTTGGTCGTGATCTCTCCGGGCAAAATATATATGAAAAAAAAAGTTCTTACCACGAAATAAGTAGTGGCGGCAATTTGTCGGATTTTACATTTTTGGGCCTCTACGGGGTCTCCACACTACGCTACCAGTAGCCCTCATGAACATGTGCTACCTGTCCCCCGACTTTCACAATGTCGGTTAGAGTGGTGGTTTAAGGCCTCATTGAGTCTGGAGAATCCCCATCCACCAGGAGTTCTTTGAAAAAAACAACGAAAAAAAAGCCTTGTATTTTTGGATTTGGCCAGTTGATTTGCATCATGCATTGTTTGTCCTTGTCTGCATCAACCACTGCTTCCCAATGCCTACGCAACGCTGCAACGTGACACTGCTCTTGTTGTAGCGTTGTAGCGATGGCACAGCTGTTTGTTGTGAATATTAATGTGCCAGGTTGTAGTGTGCGTGATGTTGATGAAAGAGCAAGAAGAGGTCTGTTTCAGTCTGAAACCGGTGTGCGGGTGATAGAGGTAGTTGCGTTGCAGGTTAGCACAGTGGTACCACTGGAAGGGGTGACACCAGCCTCTCAGGTGGTGCCTTCGTCGCCGCCAATGTGCGACGTTGGCAAAGGTCAGGGGTGGCGGTGTGCTGCCATCCCTGGAGACAAATCCGTGTTTGCTTGCGCATACCTGGACATGGGCAGCAACTTCCTCACATGGGGCAGAAATGGCTTCAAGCAAAGAGAGGGCAACTGGTGCAGAAACACCAGCAGGATCGGGAACATCAACTCTTTTTCGTGAGGAGATCGAAAGTCCGGTCGTGAATTGAGAGTGGGATAAGCAGCAGGATCCGGAACGATGTCCTGACAAGATGAGCTCTATCCACGAGATAATCGTTGGGGTCGGTGTGTGTGATGACGCTATCTAGGTTTGGGAGGGTGGTGATAGGGTTGCATTGAAAAGCAACCTTCTTCACTTGGCATCTCCTCTCCCTCCCCTCTCTCTTCCTCTCCCCTTCCCCCCCTTCTCTCTTCAGCTCTTCTTCCTTTCCCGGTGCTGCACTCTTCTTGTTTTGTGCAAGGGACAGTAGAGGCGGTGCTAGGAAGGGAAGAAGTGGAGGGATGGGTGTGGGAGGGATTGGGATATGAAGGAAGAGGGGGCGGGGGAGGGAAAGAGGGGGTGAGGCAGTGGGCAAGGGGGTTGAAATTGCTTGTTTGGTGGAGAAGAGGGAGGGGGGGAGGGAGAGTCGATTTGATCACCGAATGTTGTGTAGGGGAAGGGGTTCGAGGGACAGTGGGGAGGAGGACGAGAGTGCACCGTTTGATCTCGTTTTGTCTTTAGGTCAATTCGGGATTACATTTACCGTTGGTTTTTGAGTGCTAGCAATTTTTCTCTATGTTTGTTTCTCACGGTCCGTTCGTTTGTCACTTTTTGTCTATTATCTAGGGCATCAATCAATGATTGAAATTTCGATAGTAGGTCATAGCCATGGATTGTCCTATAAACTCAGGTTTCAGCAACCTGTAAATTTTGATCATCTAGGAAATCTTGTTCATCATGACTTGCAAGTTGTTGTATGACCATCATGTGGTGCTGATTTAGCTCTATTCTTGTGAGGCTTCCTCACGGCGAACTATACTCAAATCAGCAATGGTATGATCGATTTCAAGGGAGGAGGTGGAACTTGTTTTCAGCTTGGTGCGTCTTCGTTGGCTCCATGAAGCTGAAGCGGGGTAATTGCCCCGCTATCATCATTGTATTCAGGAAAAGGGGGTGGTGGCGAGGATCCAGGAGGGGGAGAAGGGAAGGAGTATGTGGTCAATTTGGGATTGGCAAGGTGGTTAGCATATGGAGGTGGGGACCAGGGAAATAGTGCCGAGTGTCTGGAGGACGTTGAGGAAGAGTGTACTCACTCTCCGCGGGGAGGACAGAGGAAGAAGCATCCTTCCCAACTCCTTGTCCTCCATCCTCGATATCAAACTATTCGGTTGGGTTGGTAGTATGCCTGAAGCTTGGTCTGTCGGAGGGCTGGGAGAGGAAAGATGTACTACTCTCCTTGGATGAGACAATCACAGCAGTACTTGGAAAGCACTGTGGAGAACCTATGGTTTCTTTTTTTTCCTCTTTTTTTTGTCCACCTAACACTAGCTACCTACCTACCTGTACATTATCCACTCACGTGTCTAGTATGGGGACTTACCTTGTCTTTGTTATAGTACGACCACAAGACCGTTCCTAATAGAGAGCCAGCAGTACTTTAATCTACTGAATGATTGTAGGTAAGGAGAGCGAGGTCCTTCAGAGAACGACAATATTAAGCTCGCTGGCTGTACGTTTCGTGCAATGTTTTTTTTTGGGGGGAGCTGGGTTTTGTCCATTTGAATCTGACATCCCCCTGAGAGACATTCTGTCTGTCAGAGGGGAGTCTGCCGATTGCTGTTCTCTTTCTTTTCTGAGAGGCTCTTCTGTCCTAGTGTGTCGGCGGTGCCGAATGCATGATGTCATCTGAGGGCCTCACCAGTTGTGGTCGTGTAGCCACGTAGACTCTGGTAATCGGGGTACCTTAAAGATGTGTGCAACCTAGAACATTGAAAGATACGGACGGTTGTGTATCTATGGCAGCGGGGTGTGAGGGACAAGGTGGGGAGGGGGGGGAGGGGGGGGGAGAGGAGGGACACCGCGGAGATGAGAGATGGAGGGCGATCACCTGGCTAGACATCTTGTAGAACAAAGATGGGCCCAAAGCACCACAGTTCTTAGGGTGCTCGGAATGCATTAAGGTAGTTGATGACATTGGGCAGAGATGACAGCATTCTGCCGTGTAGCCACCATGTTACCAGCAAGAAACAAAAAATAAAAAATAAAAATAAAAAATAAAAAAATAAAAAATAAAAAATAAAAAATAAGAAAAAAAAATAAAAAAATAAGAAAAAATAAATAAAAAATAAGAAATAAAAAATAAAAAATAAAATTCATGCAGTGCTGGGAGCAATCGTATTTCGAGGGATGAAAGGGCATGGATTCCGTAATGCCAGTGGTGGGGTGGGCGAAGAGTACCGGTCTTCTGGAAGTTGTGTGTGAGCAGAAAGCTACCTTGAAACAGAGGGAGGAAGAAAAAGAAACATGGGACATCATAGGAAAGGAACTGGGGAATCATGGAGAGAATGGAGATTGGCAAATAAAGAAAAAAGAAAAAGAAAAGACTCGAAATCAGGGCCAGCCAATCACGGGTAATCGTTCAAAAGCCAACCACTTGGAAGGATCAAAACGAAGATCTTTGTCGATTGTCTCTGCTTCTCTTCAGGAGAAAGTGGTGGAGCCCAGTGTTTTCAGCGCTTTCATCTGACTGACTAGAAGGCAGAGACTGATATGGGTACTATGGGGGAGAACCTCGTCCCCTAGTCGTGCTCCATATGGTTCTGAATATCAGGGCCTCGCTCCACCGCTCACCAAGGTCAACATTTGGGAGTTGGGTCCCCGCTCCACCACTCACCACAGTCGTCCTTTCGAAAAGCGATTTTTTCATGGAGGTGAGTACTGGCCGCACTCACCGTTCTCCGCGCCTGCATCGGCGGGCGGGGTTGTAGTGCCTCCTCCAGGGTGCCCACCAAAAGTGGTGGGTTGTTGTGCCTCCTCCATGGTGCCTACCGAAAGTCTTGAGTACCGTACTTTCCAGACCTTGTCTTGTAATAGCACTCACCGTGTGGTGATTGGTCAAGTTTAGTGAGCGCTGGAGCAATGTGGGCCTTTTGTTCCTGTGGCGGGAGATCAAGTCTGGTGCACCAACTGTCGCAGGTGGATCAGCAATGGTTTGACGGCAAGTAACCGAGGACACTGCAGCTTGAAACACTTCTTTCCGTCTGGCGGCTGGACCCTGCCCAAAGAGCCGGCAACTAATACGCAACCAAGAGGTACCAGAGGATGACAAGATCACAGCGACACTCAGAAAGCTCAGCTGGAACTGGCAAGAACCACAGCGCAACACAGGTTACAGTATCCCCGAAGGGAGATGGTGAATAAGGAGAGTAGAGAGTAATGGAGCAGAGAAGCAGGAACATACTCAACCTTTATGTTATAATGATGGGATGCTGGACCCGGTTTCCAGCAGATTCAGCTCCCTAGTAATAGGTGGAACAACTTTCATCATAGGGAGCCGCCAGAACATGGCCCCAGGCGAATGGAGAACCTGTTTTGAGCATCTCCTATCATTTAGGCGGCTGAGCGCAGTAGATAAAACGAATTGGCAGTGGGCAGCCTCTGAAAGGGGCCCACGGCAGATAGCTGGCACGTGCTGGCGCTTCAAGCGGAACACCCTGACTCGAAGTTTTGGTGACTGGTGTAGGGAGGACCTCAGTCTGTCCGGAGTGCCCAGTTTTTGTCCTTGTTTCCTTTTCCAACCCAATTTTTGTTAGGTATTCAAATACTTCTTGCGAGAGTTTTCTTTTTTTTTTGGGGGGGGGGCGGAAGAGGGCGGCGGGGGTGGGAATGAAGGTAAATGGTGGATTATAGGCCATCACTACCGTTGAGAGTCTCCCGGGTTCGAGCTGGCTGGTTCCGAGTAGGACAGAAGATCCCCTGATCAGCAAACAGTGTTACACCCATGTGCCGAGCAACAGATCAGGAGTTCAAATCCTCATGGAAACCATTGTGTTAGGTTATCCCCTTGAAGGTTGGAAGAGCGTGCTGACTGTTGAGATTATGTCCTGGAAGTTCTTTTTTTTTTGGGGGGGGGGGGCATGGCATCGAAGGGTTTTTCTGCCGGGTGCCTAAGGGACTGCCTTGTTTTGTGACATGGTATGCCACAGGTCTCCGGAGGAGACACTAGCATTTCAAACAATACGAGATTCCATGAAGGTACTGTTCTTTTCAGATTGTTGTTCTTAGGTTGCGGGAACAAAAAAAAGAACAAAAAGAAGTTTGGAAATGGTGAGCTGTTCAGATATTTAGGCTTTCAAGTTTCTGAACTCCATTTCTGTTGAAAAGGTTACATTTTGTAAAAGTGAATGGTACGAAAAAAAAAGAAAAAAAGAAAAAAAAAGAAACGCTGGACCCGGTTTCCAGCAGGTGAAGCTCCCCGACAATGGATTGGAGACATCTGAAGGGGGGTGGAGTTGGGCGATGCTCGTACCAATTCCAACAAGACACCCAGTCAGATGCTTGAAGACAAAAAGAAAAAAAAGAAAAGGACAAACAACACCACACATTGAATTGTTGACGTCATGCCTTTGGTGACAGCTGCTGAGGGGCGCTGAAGTGGGGAAGGCAGCTATAAGGAAATAAACTATTTGCTGCACACATGGATGGTCTCTAAGCTTCGTGCATCCGATCCTTACAGTGTGTGTACTCACAGACCACCTTCGTTGTGCATCTGAACAACCCGGAACATCGCATTTTTTATTCTCAAGGTTGCCTGGCAAGGTACTGGTAGTATGACACCGTGTATCAGCTGCGGCCATGGATGGTCTCTAAGCTTTGTGCGTCCTACGCTTAATACGTGTGAACACACGGAGAACCTTCATTGTTACGGTTCGCTTTCTTTATCAGGTCAACCAGCGTCCAAGCATACTGCTACCGATAGATAAGGAGGCCTTTCTTATCTTAAGAGAACGATGACCAACTCTTCTTTAAGCACAGCGTAAGCAAATTCCACTGTGTCAGGCACGCCACAAAGGTTACTCAGGTTGGGCACGAGCAGCTTCTGTACTGGTTACTATCCCCCCTCTCCCCAAACCACACACCCCTTGGCCCATTTCTGAATTTAAACATACATTATACATATGGAATGAAAACAGTTTGGTGATCACTGTCATGTGTAAGTGGATGTGTATTGTGCAGCTGTGTCACAGATGAATGCGTTGTATGTAAGATGGAGTCGATTTGCGAAGAAAGACTGATAATAAAAGGAAGTATTGTGGGCTAGTGGGGTCTCTATTGACGTGGCTTGGCTCGCTGCACAACTCTGGTGTGCTGTCGTTTGGTCGTGGCATGGTAGGACTTCTGGTTGACCCGGCTTGCCACTGCAACGGGTGTGCAGGTTTGACCTTTTTGTCTATGGACATGATGGAGCTAATGAGCGGATAGCCTATGGCTTCGTCCAACCATACATCTTGCACTTGCAAGAAGCAGAGAGGCAGTACAGCGATAGTCAAAGACGCTCACTCATACTCGATCCATGCAAACGATTGCGTGATGGGAGCGCAGCAGAAGCTCTTCTTCAACACAATTACAATTGTGTGGAGACCTATAATGGAGCCTCGATCGAGGAGGCTCGACCTCCGGTGGAATCCGGAGGACATCACTCCCCAGATGTGGCTCCCGGGGGAGAAACGTGGTTCACAAAGAAGACCATGGAGAGGTATGCCTCTCTGCCCTCAGCACACTGTACTTTGAACTCAGAAATGTGGTTCCCTACCTCTTTTTTGACAGGACAAAAAAATGGCATCGTGAGCTTACGTGTGTGTGTGGGAGTGTGTGTGGGTGGCTGTGTGGGTGGGTAGGCTGTGGGTGGTGGGTGGTGGGAGTGGGGGTAGGGGGTGGATGGGTGGGTGTGTGCACGTGTGTGGTCGTGCGAACATTTGGACCCAAGAGGTGGTGCAGTGACAAGGGGCAGGGTTTCCAACTTTCCATCCAACGCTGAAAATGTCAAGAGCCAGGATTCTTATCAGTGGGGCCGTCTCTGATCAGTACCGTCAGCTGATTATGTTCTCTCTGTCCTAACGTTTTTGCCTAGCATGTTCCTAGTCTGGTAGGGCCAAGATTGTGAATCCTCCTGACATTCCAGTTTTGAACTGTCTCATTGGTATGATGTCCATGTGGCAGATTCTCTTCCGTGAGTTTTTGTCTGCATATGTGCGATCTCTTCTGTTAGAAGTAAGCGATAATTTGTGTGTTCGCCATCTCCGATTATTTCCTGCTTCCTTTCCTAAAACCGCCAGGATGCGAGAAGGGGAGGACTGAAGTGAGCAGGCAAAAGAGGGAGGGGACTGTTAGAAACAAAGTGATCACATGGCATTATGTGTTCTGCCTCTCAGATCATTTCTAGCTAGAAGGCTAGTAGCTTTCTTTTTTTAAATCACCAGGATGAGAGAAGGGGGGGAGGACTAGAGCGAACAGGAAAAAGGGGGGCACATGTATGGGAATGAAGGAAGCTTTTGACAAGGGCTGTCTGGGCAGGGTTATGTACTCGAACGCCTGGTGATGTACTTGTCGAAACCGGTAAAGCAAAATGGCAGATACGCCGTGCAACAATGGGGCTGTGGGAATTTACTTGAAGCATCGGCAGAGAAATTGTATTCGAGGATTGACAACCAGCACTCTCGCCCGGGGGAGCTTTCGTTAATCGATGTGGACAAAGCTGCAGTAAAATAAACCGATAAAAATCGAGCGGTAAAGAAAGGTGGAGGGATGAGGTGCATGAGAAGGGAAAGTAAAATGGGGGTGCTGATGATGAGAGCAGAAGAAGAAGAAGAAGAAGAAGAAGAAGAAGAAGAAGAAGAAGAAGAAGAAGAAGAAGAAGAAGAAGAAGAAGAAAAGGAAGAAGCAGAAGATAAATAAGCAGCAGCATCAGCAGCAGGAGCAGAAGAAGAAGAACAAGAAAAGGAAGAAGAAGAAGAAGAAAAGGAAGAAGAAGAAGAAGAAAAGGAAGAAGAAGAAGAAGAAGAAGAAGAAGAAGAAGAAGAAGAAGAGGACGAGTGTGGTTGGGTACACTGTGTCGTGGGATTTCTGTGCTGGGGTGGGGTGAAGTGCTCATGTTGGGGCTTCACTTTCACCCAGCCCACTTAGCCTTATGGTTAGGTGTTACCCTTCCAAGCCGTTGGTTGTGTTTTCGAGTCTTGTATTCGGATTGCACCTTGGATTTCACCACCTGGGCAATTCGACATATGATACCCTAGGCCCTTGGATTTCATCACCTGGGCCTATGGGAGGATCTCAAACCAAGGGCGAGAAGCACACGGTTGTCAGGTGTGCTCGCCATTGAACCACTACACGTCCACGCATCGTTTTTTGGATGCACGACCCCTAAAATACCGAATTGTCACGGGAAAGGGCCCACATTGTACTGCCAGCCTTTTTGGTCCACTAGGCCGAGCCTTTTCGTGGCACTGCATTAACCTGTGCCTTCTCATGGGTGGCTGGGATGGAAACTGGTGGTTTAAACCACGGGAACCTTTAATTCCTGTAATCTTTTGCAACCCTGGAAGGCGTGGTATGGCTGTGATTGTCAGAACTGCAGCAGTCTGGGCTCTATCTCTTTTCCTGTGTGATAACTAATTTGCATTTGCTACATGGCCTTTATTGTTCATTGAAGTAGGGGAGGTTCTGGTGGTTTAGAAGATGGCATGGTTCAGGAGTGGAGATGATGCAGGTGCATGCTGGCCGCATACAGAGGGAATACGATTATTGAGAAATTGTTGCAATGACGATCTGGATCACAAAATGCACTTCCGACACACGTGGTTAACGGGGTACCCCCAGTTTCAGCTCCTGAGTAACAGGTCCAAAACTGAAATTAGAATTTGGGGGTGAAATTTTATGTTTTTTTTTTTTTTTTTTTTTTNTCCTGTTTTTGTCTTACGTCAAGGTTGTGTACCAAATTTCGTCTCGTTTGGAGCATTGGAATTTCCTCTGATAAGACCATTTCCAAAACCGCTGAAAATTCTGAAGATTCGCTGAATCAAAAATGGCATTCAAGTCCACTTTTGCGTTACTGTTTCACCCTGTTTTTATTTATTTTTTTCGTTTTTTTTTTTAATGGTTTGTTAATATGGTGTGCACTCTATGGAATGATGCCTTTCTTGGTTAAAAAGGGCTTCTGGTTTTCTTATAAATAGCATTAAAAAAACGCTGAAATTTTAGGTCTCCGTTAACCGCCTCTCGCTTACTTACAGCTAGCTGTTGAATGTCCTTTGATTTCCCATCCCGTTTCTTAAAGGTCTGGTTTGAAATTTTGGTGCAGCTCTATTGCAGAGAGAGAGAGAGCTGTTCAAAATTTTGGTTCTCGTGATGGATTGTTCTCAATGTCACAGGGGTCGCAGGGAATCCCTTGAATCCTTATTTACTTCTTTTTTTTTCAAAAAAAATGGCAACTGCCTTGACGTATCATAGTCGAACTGACCAGCACTAAGTAATTTTAGAGTTTGGCGCTAAGTAAGTCAGAGCTACTTATCCCATCAGGATTCACCGATTCGGACTCCGTTTATCAACAGTGCACGAGGACGCTGGCTAGTTCGGAATATGCACGACAATGGAGCAAGAGGTGTACCATTGAGCCACGTAGGCATGGTGATCCCTTTATATTTATTTTAATTGTTTTTGGGGGCTTCCAAGGGTTTTGAACCTGTGATCTTCAGGTTATCAGCCATCACACGGCAAATGCTATTAACCGGAGCTATTCCAGGCATTCACTGCTGACATAGCGACGTGGTACAAACCTCTGAAGAAGGCTCAACGCATCGGGAGCCCCAAGTCTTCAGAACACAATAACAGCTGCTATGTCAGCGGTGAATGCTTGGAATAGCTCCAGTTCGAGGATATGGTAAGGAGATGAACCTGACAGTTCATCTTGATACCAATCCGCAACGAATGAGAGATGGTTAATGGAAGGCCCAAAAAACGGGGTTTTTTGCCGCATCACCACAAGCAATGTCGTAAAAAAATTCAGGAACAAACAATGCAGGCTCATAATACGAACATAAAAAAAAAAAAAAAAAAACACGAAAAGAAAACCCAAAAGCACATATTGTAGTATTGTGGGGACCAACCACAGGGGTCATTCCACGTGAATGCCACATGGCAAGGAGTAGCCCTTAAGCCCCCTGAATAAGAATGTTTCTATATTTGTAAAATGTTGATAAAACAAAAAGGCAATGCCAGATCCCTCTCACATAGGGGCAGGGGCCTCTAAGAGAACCCAGGACCCTACCAAGAACGACTGGGGGGGGCAAGCCAACTATCTCATCTGGTGAGCACCAAGCACGCGGCAGGCGGCCGTGAGGAACTGAACCCATGACCTCCTGAATGCCACTTGCGTGCGGAACCGACTGAGCTAGGCTGCTGACCCCCACCAGAAACATTCCTCTCATTGGAATGTGTCTAATCGTTGTCCCATTAGATTGGCGGCATTGGCCAGTACAAAACTTTGCTCAATGTCAGCACAAGTGATGTCAGGCACCTTGACACGAAAGCTGTCCACATTCCTCTTCTTTTGTCCTTTCCTGTCTCCTTTCACATGGGGAGAGGGTGGTGGTGATAAGGAGTCATTTTCAAGTATTGCAATTCACGGGACGCTTGTTGCTGTTGCAATCGGGTATCCCCTCCCCCCCCCCCCCCCACACACACACCAGTGGGACAGAGTCTCAGCAGTGCATAAACCAGATATTCTCAAGAGGGCTCCGTTTTTTTTTGTCTGTACAGACAACCCAGATGCTCAACAGGGGGCGAACGTCTAGGCTGGCAGCCTAGAAATAGACTTAAGATCAAGTTTGGACTTCTTCTTCTTCTTCCTCTTCTTTTTCTTTTTCTTTTTTATTTGGACCATTTCTCAATTTATGTGTGTCAGGCTTGTGCAGAGGCCATGCTAATCTTCTCTGTATCATTCCAATTTTAGTGGATGTCGAGAAAGACTACGTCAGCTTCTTTTGTGTTAGTGGTTTTGTTCAATTTGTTTTGGGGCGGGGCAGCATGCACGTCAGCAGATTTGTTTAGGGCTGAGCTTTAGAACCAGCAAAAACTCAGGAGGACAAGTCTGTTTGTCTTGTAGTTTTTTGAACTTCTTTCAGCAGATTCTTCTGGGCCTGCTGCCTGGCACATCAGGCAGGGTGGTCAGGTCCAAACCTGGTCCTGCCTATTGGAGGGTTGTCCAAGCCTGGTATCAGGCCAACGCCAACGACACCTTCGTTGGCCTGGCCGAAAAACAGGATCCCTTTAGACTGCCTGGAGGGGGCCTGAAGAGAGGGCTAGGTGGGTGCCAACATTTCCTTAGGTTGGCTGGGTGGGTGTCCGTCACCCGTGTGTGTGCGTGCATCAGAGAGAGAGAGAGAGAGAGAGAGAGAGAGAGAGAGAGAGAGAGAGAGAGAGAGAGANAGAGAGAGAGAGAGAGAGAGAGAGAGAGAGAGAGAGAGAGAGAGAGAGAGAGAGAGAGAGAGAGAGAGAGAGAGAGAGAGATGCTAGTGGGGTGGTTAGTCGAGTGTTTCCATGAAGTGCGCTGACTAGCTCACCAGGCCAGTGGGCTGGACCTTGGAGTGGGTCCAGCCTACCCTTACATGGTCTGGTTCAGGCCCAAACAAAATTTTGCTTATGAAATGCTAGCCTGAACAAACTTGATGGCTTGAGTTTTTTTGTTGTGGAAACACAGGCCCAAATGAATCTGCTGACGGGAGTTCTTTTGGCCTTTCGAAACTTCTCGCCCATGTGACTGCAGTTTCCCCTTTTTCTAATTTGGGAATACTGTCAATAAGCCCCCAAATTTTGACTGATTTGATCTCAAGTCCCCGGAGGCGCCCTCCATTCCAGAAAGGCCTTTGCAGTGGCCAGTACACAGTGGGACTCGTAGGAGGACCTGTTTGACAATTCAGGGGGTTCTACTGGGGGTATATTTACAATTTATCGACGAAAAACCAAGGCTTTTGATGGATTTAATACCGAACCGCTCAATTGGGTACTTATTGCAAAATGAGCGAACATTTGGGGTTTAGTGACCGTTCTCCCTTTTGTTTTCACCGCTTTTGAATAGAAAACACAGTTCGATGTCATGACAATTATGATGCCACGCACCCTGGCCATGAGGGGGAAAAGAAAAAAGATGCCACGAACCCTTAGGAGCCTCGTGGCTGCCGAGCCTTGTGCTCAACCCTGTGGGCCCAGTGCTGGAGATCGAAGAGGGAAGGCCCCTCGGATCCCTACCCTCATGCTCGGTAATCACGATCCTACTCACAGAGAGAGCCAGGTTCACTGTTACATAGGATGAACAAGGCCCCAGTGGTGTCTACCCCTAACTTTGCAACTTCCTGACCAATTTCTTTTCTTTGCTACTTCGGTGGCACATGAAGGCTGCACAATGGCCAGAGTGTCGATGTCCAACCTCCTGATCTGTCAGTGATGATCTAGAATAATGATTTACTTCCAAGTGTTTCATTGATGCTTGTTTGACTTTTTGTCAGGATATGGTGGAAGTTCGGTCGTTGGTCATGTGGCAGAATCTAGAGGAGCACCCCAAAGCCTGATTTAAAATGCCCGAACATTTGTATAATTACTAATTTAGTAATTTACTAATTTTTAATGTGCACAATGTTATGTATGGACTTATCCAGATGTAGGAGGCTTCTCATCGTGGCCACATGTTTGCCTAACTGTGGTGGACGCTTTTTTTTGTCTTTTTTTTTTGATGTGCAGTTAGTTGTTCATTTTCGAGAAAGAAAGAGCTATGAAAGTAGCGCACTGCTCTGTATAGAAAACATGTATTTTGACCTTTTTTTTTTTTTTTTTTTCATGTAGTTTGACCTTTTATTTGGCAGGCAGGCCTCGAAAGAGTGTTGGGCCTTGTGGGTGACCGAGTGTGAAGGGTCCCGCAATCCTCAATTAGTCCGTAAACCGCATGTACACCACTGAGGCAAAGTTTAGAAGTCGAAACGAGTCATTCCGAAAAGTTAGGGGACTCAACCCAGAGCCTCCTGAGGGTGGGCCGGAATTTTCTTTAGTCCCACATAGCGCCAGTGCCCATCCTAAGGTGTGGTACAATTTTCTTTTTCCGCCTGCCCCCAGGCCCGCCCTGGGCCCAGTCCCCTAATGTTTAGGTAGGACTCATTTTGACTTGTATAGTTTGCCTGGGAGGTGTACTTGTGGTTCAAGTATGCGGAGTCCATAGGTGTAACGCATTGCCTATGAGGTGTCTGAAAACAGCAGCCATTGATACATCTAGGCACAACAGAGTCTTGGAAACTTCTGTTGAGACACAAAACTTCTTTAAGAAAAATCTTTTTTGAAGTTTTTTCTGTATGATGGAACACGCGCTGGATATTGAACTGATCGGAACAGATACTACACTTCATCTTAGCCATAAGGCCGAGAAAGTAAGTTAGGAAGCTGTTTTTATTTGAGTAATTACACCTATTCCGGATGAATCAAATCATATTTGAACTGGAAGAAAGAAGGAAAATCGGAGATGTGCATCCACGACCGAAAAACCATGGAGTCGAGGTAGGGCCTAAGGAAGTAGTGGTAATTAATAAAAGGGAAGGGAAATGTTTAGAAAATGTGGGAATGTAATGACCTGCCAAAACACAGACGGAGAACACGGCTGATTTCCCAGTTTTGCCGCTGGAATGTATGCCTTGCTGAGATTCCTGGGTTCTGCTGAGTTTTCTATGTCTGTGTGTGAGTGAGTGCTTGCTGGCCCGTGTGCCTGTCTGAGTGCACGTCTGCCTTTGTGTGTGTGTGTGGCCCTACAAGGCACTTGTGTGTTGTCTGCCTGAGTGTGTGTGTGGCCCGACAGGTCGGAGTCGGCGGTCGGCAGGTATGCAACCCTGGTGCTTGGTGGAAATTCGGATCAGGAACTAGAGGCTCAGATGGACTGGTGGTTGAACTGTCTTTTGTTTTTGGCACGAGGTTGAAATCCGGATAGGAGAAAAGAGGCTCGGATGGAATGGTGGTGCAACTGTTTTGCTATTTATTTACCAGAATCAGCTTGATTATGTAAGGGAATAAATTTTGTTTTCTCATGAGAGTGCATGGGAATTCTCGCACTTTTGACAGGTTTGTGCGGTTTGTGCTCAACCCGGAGATATTGGAGAGAGTCGTGGGGATGAATGAAGAGGTATTGCGGCTTGAGGAAGCAATCAAAGGACTCTCCAGTGGAGCAGAAGAGTATGCCGGTGAAGAGGATCAATCGGAAAGACAAACGGTGGGTATGTGCTACCAAAGGTGATGAGGGTTGCACTTTTAGTTTGGAGTGGAAATTGCTGCTCAGGTCATATGTACTTCAGCCCAGGACGATGCGAAACCTAGTCCCTGTATTAGTCAATTCCTCAAAGCACCAGTGCGTTTCCCAGCCATTTTTCTCCGACGCGGCTGCATATACCCTGCAACTTTTGGGAGTCGGCTTCTGATGTAAAATGGCTGGGGGCCAGCCCAAAAGGAGGCCCATGCCACTTTTGGGGTCATTTGTTTTGGCTCTCAGGGCGTTTCGAGCCTCTTGAAAAAGAGGCTCGGAAGAACTGGTGGTTCAAGCTCATCATGGAAAGGCCTACTGTCTTCCCCCGAACACAACGCAGTCGAATTTTCACTGAATGGGACCGTAAAGCTAGCCTGTATACATTCATAATCAGGGCGCGTTGTGTTCGGGGGAAGACGGTAGTAGGAAGAGGGTCCGAGCTTACCTGTTGCAGAAACTGAATCTCTCTACCCTGATATGTGCCATCAGCTGGAGGCATTTAGCTAAAGCCTTCGAGTCACAAGGTTCGCATATTGTGAAGGGTTGGCTACCATCTTCACCTGAATAGAACACCGAGTCATTATAGCCGTATTTGGTGCAATTTTCAGTTCAGATACGGTTGTAATGACCGGGCGTTCTATTCGTGTGAAGACGGTAGTAGGGGTGGTCAAATTTTAACATGGGTGCGTTGCAAGCTTGGCTTGTTTCTCTAAGGGTTCATGTGGATTGATTGGCAAACACAGGGCCATGAAACCCATCATGCAGGGCCTCCCTCCAAGGCAGAAGTCATCTCATACTTCCTCCTGACTGTGAAGGGGACAACACACCTCAAGTTGGCTACCCAAGCTTCAGAGAGACGACTTGATATACCAGTCAGTGCTCACCCTTGTGCCCAAAGAGTTCTGGTCTCAATGTGAATTGGATGAGCTGCGGGCCTGTAGTTCTGACGTGTGCAATTTGCTCGTTCCGTCACATATTGGGCAAATGGAGTCAGTGACATATATGACGCTTTCATGGTTTCGCTTGCCATGGACAGCGACTCGTCGCACTTGTAGGGGTGCTTAGTCAGGTCATATAACTGAGTCTGTGGTGTCTTTCATCTCCTATAACTTATGTGGTGTGGCAGCACTATGAGTTGAGCAATACCTGTGTCTGTCCGCGTTTCTCTGTGGACCGACGTCTACGTTGGGGAGTGCTGACCTGCTAAGCTTGTCAGCCAACTCCAAAATCAATATTACATGGACATGCTTGATCCCCGAAATTAGGCGCACTGAGGTTCTGCTTCGTATGGGCGTCTAGCGGCAGCCTCATGGGTTGTCTCTTTGCTGTAACACTGTTCAGGGGCCTAAGGGAGACAGCCCATTGGTGCAGTTTTTGTGCTTGCAGAGCGCGAACGTGGTTGGGTTGATCCTAAGAGCCAGACCCCACTGGGTCTATGACCTTGGTTGTAGAACTGGCCAGGGTCATGCTAGCGTATCACAAACATTGCAGCAGTGGGAGCTGACCCTAACCCAGCACAGATGTAAGCAGCAGTGCAGCATTAATGTGTGGCGGCCCTTAACACTGTTCCCTTGGTAATGCTGCGCTGAAAAGGCCACCCTTGTGTACAGACCACGTTCTCCTTCTCCACCAGGGCTAGGAGTCCATTTTGCTTTCTTTTTCCTTCTGCACCATTCGGTTATCTGCATTTCATTACACTCGTTCTTTCTTTTGTGCTTTTTTCTTCTGCGAAGCCGCAACAGGTCATGTAGTTGGCATATGATCCTCTTGTACGGTGGAGGGGTTTTTTAACTTGTTTATTTTATTTTATTTATTTATTTTTAGCAATGGAGCAGGCGCAATCTATTGGTTAGGGCCAGCACCTGCTGGACACCAAGCCCAGTGGCCCTTCAGAATTACAGGAAAGACGAGTGTGTGATGACTCACCACCAAGCCATTCATCATTCATGGACCAGACACCATTGATTGCTCCTGTGGACAGGAGGATATAATGCTCGGGGCAGCACCTGCTGGACACCAAGTCCAGTGGCCCTTCAGGATTACAGGAAAAACGAGTGTGTGATGACTCACCACCAAGCCATTCATCAATCATAGACCAGACACCATTGATTGCTCCTGTGCACAGGAGGATATAATGCTGGTTTTTGGATCAACCACTCCGAGACCAAAACCGATTCCATTCTGTGTTTCCTTTCTGTGTTTCCATTCTGTGATTCCATTCTGTGTTTCCTTACTCTTCCGAACTCGCATTCACCCTCCCTCCCCCCCCGTCATCCCACAGTTGGCTGTGAGCTTTCTGCTTGCCTTGCAAATGCTACTGTCTGCATGTATCCCAGTATGGTGCAGCAATATTCACACGGCTGCAATCTTCTACTTGTCTTCCAAGCCCGTCGTAATTCCGCTTCACCCCACTATAACGGAGCCATGTATTCATAATTTCATAGCCAAGATCTTCCACATTTCTGCTGGTCTCTTCTTTTATTCCCCCCCCCACCCTTACAAAAGCCTTCCTGTGCTGTCTCTTTGACGGTTGCTCCCCCCTGGGCTGACTGTCTGCTGCAGATTGGTGTTGACTTGTCAAGCAATCAAGAAGGACACGATGCTTCACCGAACTTTCTGCATAAGTTGTCTGACAGGTACTTCTTGTCTTTCATCGACCACAAATTCATGGGTGATGTGAATAGGATCTACACTTTCTAAAGCCTGCTATAATTGAAGCTATTCAGTTTTGTGCATGATACGGTTTTTCCATGCATGCGGTTCATCGCATGCCCTGCATAGCGCATGCGCACACGTGCACGTGCATATGATGCGGCGCAATTACGAATTAAGAAAAATTAAAAATATTCAAAAGGGTAGGCTGTGGTAACCAAATGTGTGCCTCCCTTTGGAAAATTGTAAGTGCACCTAGGCTACCAGCCGGGCCGCCCGGGTCCCAGGTGGCCAGCCCTTGCAAGGACCAAGGAAGATCCCAGCAAAAAAAAAAGAAGAAAAAATCAAAAA